AAAAAAAAAAAAAAAAAAAAAAAAGGGTTCATTACCGACCAACTTATTCTGAGGGCTCCCAAATTCCCTCGGCAAAAGTGTTTTTTCCAACGAAAAAATGTTGTCCGTTAAAAATATGTTACGGTGCTGGAATTTATTTCCACAAAGTAACGGCCTTCAAAAAAAATCTCTATGGTCGTCGGAAATGTAATTTATTTGGCGGGAAAACTTTGCACCAACTTTATTAATGACACAAAATTTGTTTGTCAGAAATAAGTTCCGAGGGGCTTCTCATGCCCTCAAAATTGTTTGACTATTTTCTAGGGGAAATATGTCCGCTCGGTAATGCCGTTATATTTATGACCAAACTCATCCTTGTCGGTAATAGTTGTGCTTGTTTCGGAGGGCATATTCATAGCTATTGGAAATCACAACCTAGTTCCGGGGGCAACATATGGTCGCCGATAATAATTTTTTTATTTACAAGGGGAATTAGCAGTCATCGGAAATTACTATCTTAAAATATTTATAACAAATTAAATTTAAAAAAAAATACACCGAAAAAAGCTACTCATTCCTTACAACAAATCCATCGATTTTAGAGGTCTAAAATCATGATTCCACATAATTGAGGGATCAAAGAAGCAAGAGTGTTAGATTATCAAAAATTAACTAGTGCTTTGTTTGTTTACAAACTAATTTGAGTTTTTGTTGTTACTTTGAATTTTTGTAAGTACAAATAACATTTTCGAAGCTTTAGGACAAAGAGAATGTCACTAGGATTTTGTAGGAATTTTTGGTGAATTTTCACAATTTTAATGTATTTATTTTGATTTTTAGGAGTGAAATCATATAAAATCTATTTTAAACTGAATTGATCGACAAGTGGCAACTTCTTACAGGTGCTTTTTCTGTGTTGGTAATGCGTGTCCTCATACCACAACACCACCTCTTCTTTTTCTTACTTTTTTGTTGTTTATCTTAACAAATTAAATAAAAATTAGAAAAGTACACCGAAAAAAGCTACGTACAGCTTACGACAAATTCTTTGATTCTAGAGGTTTAAAATCATGATTCCACATAATTAAGTTCATAGTAATCATTGGATCAAAGAAACAAGAGTGTTAGGATAGCAAACATTAACTAGTGTTTTGTTTGTTTACAAACTAATTTGAGTTTTGATTGTCACTTTGAATTTTTATAAATAAAAGTAAGATTTTCCAAGCTTTAGGATGAGGAGAATGTCACTAGGACTTCGTAGGAATTTTTGGTGAAATTTTCAGAATTGTAATGTATTTATTTTGATGTTTAGGAGTGAAATCATATAAAATCTATTTTAAATAGAATTGATGCAGCTTCTTACAGGCAATGATTTAAATATCGATATTTTCACACTTATCCACTTAATTATCGTCATTATATTTTCAACATTTTTTTGCATTATTTGGGCAATATATCGCGATATGAAACCCAAAAGTACATGAAAAATGCTGAAAAGTCTCGCTCTTGCGCATGGAGGGATTCGAACCCCTCCCTTTGTCAACCACGCACCAGCGCCTTATCCAACTCCGCTGCGGATTTGTTTGTGATTATATATTCGGCATTTAATATTTATATGGTCTTTAAGATGTCTGCAAGTCTTACAAGCTAATATTTATTATCTAGGATAAATTTCTATATTAAAAAAAACACCAAGGGTTTTCGAACCCCTCCCATTTTACTTCTTCAACACCTTAACCGCCATATCACTTATGTTTTTGTGAAAATATATTAAAATATATATATAGTTTTGTTTTGAATTCTTTTTGCAAGAGAAACAAATTTCCACATGAGAATGAATCTTTGACCATGCAATGTATAAAGTGTAAAATATTATAGTAATTCATTATATATAAATGATTATGGTGTGTTTAAACTTCTTTCATTAATTACTACATATTTTCTATACTTACAATGTTTGCCAGCTCACTATATAATCAACTTAAATCAGTTAAATCCATCATACAATGCATTTTCTTCCAATTTTTTGTGATAAACTAATAGACAATTGACTAAATAAACATCCTGCAAAGTTTCAATAAAAATTTCCAAGTTTTTCTTACAATTTCCGTGGTTTTTATTCAATTTTTATCGATATCAATAATATCCCGATATTTCCATCGAAATTTCCGTGTTTTTGGACTACCGATATTTCCGATATCAACGATATTTTAGACCTTGCTTACAGGTGCTTTTTCTGTGTTGGTGACGTGTGTCCTCATACCACAACGCCACCTATTATTTTTCTTACTTTTGTTGTTGTTTATCGTAAAAAATTCTTTAAAAATTAAATTAAAATTAGAAAAATACACCAAAAAAAGCTATACACTGCTTACGACAAAAGCTAAAGCCTTTTTCATTTCCTCCTATTCTCCATTTTCAGCTGCAATCAATCATTTTGCAAAAAATCTGGCTTGTGAGTGGGCCAAAGACAATATCAAGAGCACTTCTTTCTGGGAGCTTCTATAATGAGGAGGTTGAGTGAGGAGCTTATTTGAGGAGGCTCATCTCACCATCAAAAGGGGTGTGGACCCCCCAATGCACCCCCCCCCATGTGCTTTGTTTTTAGTTGTTGATGGTGAGATTTCACCTCCTCAAATAAGCTCCTCACTCAACCTCCTCATTTTAGCCTCTCCACTTCTTTCTACCCTTACCAGAACCTCACTTGTTGAACATGTAATACTCTTTCCTTCTTATGGTCTTTTAGGTGTTATACATATGTTTCATTATTTCAATTAAAAAATTTTGTGTTTAGCTAAATGTACACCAGAGAAATTTATATCAGGGTTATTTTCCATGAAAATGCACCCACAAAACCTCAGGCTTCTTTCTCACCCAACAATAGGAATTACATTGAAAGAGAATGTGTTAGTTCCCCTTTCTCAGGTTACTTAGGAATTAGGATAGGCAGTTATATGAATTATATGCTTACAAAGGCACACGCTCAGAGTGAGCATTTTCTGGACTGGATAATGTTCAGCTTTGTTACTAAAATATAGATAGAATAATTGACATACTTCTTACATCATGTTCAACTTAGAACTGTGGCAAAATAAACTTTATCATTTTATTTGACATTTCAATACCTCAAAACTAAATAAAAAACTTATCTAGTTACTGGTTTCCTTTGTTTCAAGATGGGAGCAGATCTCAGACAAAGCTGCAAGCAATTATATCTCCGATGGCACTTAGAACCCAAGAAAGACATGCTATAGTTCAAGGGATACCTCTGGCGCAGGTCTAGACAAGCATTTTTGGCCTTAGTTCTTTATTTGATCCATTTTGTCATGTTTCAGGTATGTTATTAAACTCTTAATTTATTATTATTTTTTTTAACCTCACAAAGATCAATCTGTGGTTATCATGATTAAGATCTTGAGTTTGCGTTTGAAAAACATTGAACGAAAAAGCCACTTTCTGTTATGTGTAAAAATTAGATTAATCACCCGTTTCTTTATTTCGTTCAAGGCATGTATTATGTTTTTTAATTCCTCATAACATTTTATTTCATCCAAAAAAATATTTATATGTTTTCAATTCAGAATATAACTATTTGTATGTAGGTGTGCTTGAATCATGGGATAAGTTGCATTTCAAAGAAGCCGTCTTTACATATAAGTCACATGAAGACCTAAAAGCTACATTCAAACACCTTATTCGGTTGGAAGTGGGCTTCGAGGACTAGTGATATAGGATATATCTTAGGATTGTAATGAGTTTCTTTTGCAATTTGTTACATTGATCTTTTACTAATGATAATATATATTATTTTTTGGACACCAATTTCTCATTGGAATTTTTTTTTTTTTTTTTTTTACAAAATATTTGTACATTCCGACAGCTTTTTACTTTTGATAATCGCTATAAATGTAGTCGGATAATCTTTTTCCCTCTTTGATAAGTGACATGAGGAGATAGATAGGAAGAAGACAAAGAAACGGGAGTATGAAAGTTTTTCACGTGAATAACCCATTCAAAATATAATTAATAAATTTGCATATAGCACGTTATGCATTCTCTACATTTAATACTTGTATTTTTTTTTTACAAATTTTTGAATAATACAAAAAAAAAAAACCAAAACTACACTTTAATAGTTTAATAAATAGTCTATAATAGCTGAGTCTTTCACTGTTTTTTTTTATTTTTTATGTTCCCGTATTTCACTAACTATAACCTTGAAAGTATTGAGGTAATTTCACCTATAGATTTACCCTGCGACGTGTGCATGCCACTTAGATCATTTGGTAGATCAAATGGAGAAGATGAATTGAACCTTGACTGATTTTATAAAAGCAGATGAGTTTTTTATTCAACCTCAGGCATGAAGATGGTGAAGAAATCTCCAACCAAAAAGAGCAAGGTTGTTTCTGTTACAGATTCCATGATACTCTGTAACTCTAGATTTGGTGGCTTTTAAATTGAGTGGCAAGCAGGATCTCAAGAAACATCCACAATTCAAATCCCGGTGATTGGTTGTTTAGAAGAATGGCACTGCCCAATTAATAAAAAAAATATATGTACTTAAGAGATTAATTATTTATTTGTCGTCGTCGTCGGCTTTACCTTGAAGTCTTCTTCCCGTCTGTCACCAGGAAAAAGAGAGCGTGAAACTTTGCCATGTCCCACCTACGTGTCGACAGAGAGAGCCATGTGGTCCAATAAATTGGACGGATATGATAGGGCATACTCCCATGTCCCACCTACGTGTACTCATGTTTTTCTCTGACATAGAATATTCTCAGTGTGATTTGAATTAAATATTCTCAAGAATTAATACGATATGTATAATTTGCCTAAGTTTATATCGAATTACAAATTAAAAACTCTACGCAGCACCCCCTTGCAAAAATTATAGATTTAAAATTTAAATGTTAAAATAGTTCCTATAATTTTACCTATGTCGGTCAATTTAGTCACGTTCAAATTCAGTTTAAATTAATTTCAAAAAATTGTAATTGATTATAAGTATGCTAATTCAATCTAAAAATGAAATAAAAGAAAAAAAAACTTAAATATGGTAGAATTGAAAAAATTGCTAGCTTGACATGTCCAAATCAATAGTCATGGCTCATGGCCCAGTGGGAGGGATAATTTACTTCTGTGGCCTGTGGTCTAGGGTTCCCATTATATCATGTACGCGTATGTTCATATTGATTTCCGTAATCTTGGATTGTAGATGTTTGGTCTCTCACCTCATACATGAAGTTGCTGAGGAAATTTCGAGCCAAAGAGTTTAGTTGCTTTGTTCTATAATTAATGTGTTCTAACCCTCCAACTCCGAGTATCATAAAATCATAATTTTTTTTGTGATATTTGCTACATTCCACAAATATAAAATGAAATATAAAAGATACACACCAGAAAGGCAGACACAATTCTTATTTCTTGGATCTTAAAATACCCTAGGCATAATTAACAAGGAGTCCACACTTGCATGGTTCCTCCTAATCAATTCAACGTCTCCACCACCTTTGATTTATGTAAACATGTCTTCGATGAATACCAATTCTTTCTTCCAGCTGAGGGAATATCTTGAGAAGGATGTTGTACATAGCTCTGTAATACCACTTACTCCATCTCTTGCACAACACAAGTGACCCAATGGCAACTCCAAAGCCAAATGTAAATCCAATTTCGACAATAATAAGATCCCAATTAACCTCACGATGACGTCCATAATTTGGAGGCCTTCCATTCACTGTTGGTGGTGGTGGAAATCCTTCTTTGGTATCCACCGTCAAAGGAAACCCCCATAGTCCTTTGTTACCTGTAAATGAGTCATTTACAAATGTTGAAAACTGATTACCGGTTGGGATCCTGCCGATCAGTTGATTATATGAGAGATTTAAGGATGCAAGGGAGGTAAGCTTCACCAACTGCGGTGGAATATGCCCGCTCAGCTTGTTCTGTGACAAGTCCAAGGACTCGAGTACTTGCATGTTACCAAATGAGGATGGGATTTCGCCCGTGAATGCATTTCGGGACAAGTTAAGGACACGTAGTGATTTGAATTCTCCCATTTCCTTAGGTATGGGTCCTCTGAAGTTGTTGCTTGAGAAGTCAATCAAGGTAAAGATAGATAGAATCTTTACCAGTTCCATCTCGAAACCTTTGCTAGTAACTGTTACACTTACACCATACTTTAAAGAACCATCATCTGCATAAGAAGAACCATCATATGCAGAAGAAAGATCACCCAGTGCGTCATAGCACTGTCTTATGGTTGGAAAGCAAGATTCAGGTGCATAAGAAGAACCAGAATTTGGATAGCTAAGGCAGGATTGTTCAGGTTCATTGCAGCTTATCCACTTCAACGGTTTTCTTTTTTTATGTGATCCAACGAGGATTGTCGATAAGGAACCATTTTCAGTAGCCATCATTTCCCGCCATGTTCTCCAAAGTATTCCCTGTATTTCACCACTGAAATTATTGTGAGCTAGGTCTATGATTTGAAGCTCTGGCCAGGTGCCATTGGTGTTGAGACATTCAATGCCTCCATAAAAGTTGTTTGAGCGCAAAATAAGGACACGCAAGGTGGAAATGTTCTTCAACAAGCATGGGAAGCTATCTGTTATATTATTGTTTCCAATGTTTAAAACCTCCAACATAGTGCATTTAGCTAGAGATTTTGGAACCTTGCCACCTAACTGATTCCCACCGATCTCTAGAATTTGCAATGAACTATCTTCAGTAACTTCAACATTAGAAATAGATCCAGTGAGGTTGTTTCTCGCTAAGTTAAGTACACTCAGATCACGCATTGCAGTCAAGCATTGGGGAATCATGCCAGTCAGAGAATTGTTGGATAGATTAAGAATCTGAAGATATAAGGCATTGCATATTGATGCTGGAATGAGCCCATGCAAGTTATTGATTGAAAGAGAGAAGAACAATGTGTTTGTGAGGATATTACCAATGTTCGATGGTATAGAGCTGAAATTATTTCTCGAGTAATCCAGATACTTGGCATATGGTAGGAAAATTGGGATTTTCCCCTGGAGTTGGTTTGAATGAAGGTCAAGAGTTTCCACTGTAGAATGAAATAAAGGAGCTTCTAGTGCTACCAAGTAGTTACAAGAAAGATTTAGGGTATAAAGTAGATTGGCACTCCAAATCCAATCGGGTATCTTGCCTTGGATATGGTTTTCTGAAAGGTCCACACTGGATAACGTGGATTGATTTCTCAAGAAATATGGGATTGTTCTCAATTTGTTAGAAGCCAAATACAAGAAAGCAAGTTGAGGAAATGAGGAATATGAGGAATCAGTACCATTGTATAAACTCAGCAAGCTATTGTACGAAAGGTCAATGTATGTAAGATTTTTCAGCTGTTGAGGGCCATTGAACGGAAAGGCACTGAAATTGTTGGAAGAAAGACGAAGTGATTCAAGGCCTCGAAAATTAAAGATAGACACAGGCATTTGTCCTTCCAAATTGTTGAAGCTTAAATCAAGGGTAACTAAGTTGGAAGAAACATTAGAAAATGCAAGTTCACCAGAGAATTGATTGTGGGAAAGGTTTAGTTGTGACAATAAGGGAAGAGAAAAGAGCGACGAGGGGATTGATCCATGGAAACTGCAATTTGAAAGATTTATCATGGACAACATTTTGAGGTTGCCAATTGATTCAGGCAGTGACCCTGAAAAGTTTGTCTGGCGTAGAATCAAGGACCGAAGAGATCCATTATTCTTGGGAAATTCTGGCAAGGAACCACCAAGTTCGTAATTACTCCCAAGATAAATAGTTTCTAGAGTAGGTACCTGAAAGATCTCGTTGGGAAATGTTCCATTCAACCGACAACCACTGAGCGTCAAGGAAGTCAACTTTGAAAAATTGGCAAAGAATCCTGGAATTGGACCGGAGATTTCGTTACCACCCAATCCAATAACAGAGAGAGACTGAAGCTTAGCAAGAGACTGATCAATAGGACCAGAAAGATGACAATAGGACAAGCTCAGCACCCTCAGGTTTGGCAGTGAAGATGATATCGCTTGGGACCAGTCAGCCCCCACTGCTGACAAATCTACTTGGTCGAAATACAGCTCTGCCAGCTGTGTGAGGTTCTGAAAGAGGATGCTTATATTCGGGGCCTCAAGGTGGTAGACTGACTGGGAAATATCAAGGACAACCAACCTTGTCAAGCGTGAAATCTCAATGGGAATTTTCCCGGAGTAACCATTATTATATGATAAATTCAGATACCTCAAGTTCACAAGCTTTCCGATTGCTGATGGAATGCGAGTGCCATAGCCAAAATAATTATCAGCCAGATTGAGTCTTTGAAGATGTTGAAGATGGAAGAGACTGCTCGCATTGTCGATGCCACCAGAGATAGTTTCACTGCTAAGGTCAAGACCAACAACATGCCCATTACTAGTGCAATTAACACCAACCCAAGAACAACAGTCGGTGCTTGAATCCCAAGATATAACCTTGGTTGAGGAGTATGAACGTTGATCAAATTGAAGGCTTTTCTTCAAATGGAGCAACGATTGTTGCTGGTCTTTAATACACTGGCTGTGAACTGCAGGGAGGAGGATATTGAAGCAGAGGAGGAACAAGTAACGCAGCAAAGTTTTCATTTTGGAAAAAAAATTTAGCTGATGAGGGAAAGTGATGAACAAACAACTGATGAGAAAGAAAGGTTGTGGTGGCTTTAATATATATATATGCATGGTAGAATACAAGTGGAAAAGGGACACCTCCTAGCTTTGATGAGATTAAATCTTTGTCGTCGCTGCTGGCTTGACTTTGAAGTCTTCCACCGACACCTAATCTTGTAGTAGTAACCAGGAAAATAGGACAAGAGAAAAATAATAATGATGTAGCAAAAAAGGCCTCCACGAGATTCGTGGTTAGCTTGACTTGTTCACTTTAAAGTCTTTCTTTATAATTGCAATTTGCATGGCAAGCTGTAAAGAATTCCGTGTATGTTTGGGGTTGGGTTAAGTTATAGCTGTCATGCAATGGAAGAGTTTGGTTTCTTAAATAGTTTACATTAGTTTGTTTGTTTGTTTGTTTTTTTTTCTATGGAGAGTTGCTTTTGATAAAATAATAGAGTTGATCTGGACATGTGAATAACCAAAAAATTATACATTGGGAGGAATCAAATCTTTCATGATATCTTTTATCTTAAAAAGCAACTTTTAATTATGTAAAAAAAAAAAAGGGAAACCTCAATTTTCCGATTATGTCAATTTTATCATTATAGTTGTAATTAAATCTTTTGCAATTCAAAGTACATTATAAACTCAGTCAAATTTTCTTTCAATTTTATCAAAAATACAACAACCCAGATGGAAAATTCGTCAAAATATAGACAACAAAAGTTACTTTTTACCAATTTATTTATTTATTTACAGGGTACCATTTATTCTATGCCATGTCAATAACCATTACTATTCTTTCTTTTATTTATCTATTTATTCCTTACAAAAGAAAACCCTTAGATTCTAACTACCCTACTAGCTACCACATTAGTTTGAATTGTTTTTATTCTTCATTTTCCATATTGTTATCGGTTGCTAAAATTATGTTTTTTTTTTCTTTTGTTTTTTGGAATGAGTCGGTGTTTACTAGAAATTGGGTTTAGAAGACTTGATTGGCTCTTATTGTTCAGCGAGACTAAGGAGGGTGTATTCAATTCAAACTTTTAATGACTTTTATAGAGTTTAAAAGTCTGGAGGTATTCAATTTAAACTTTTAAAGAGTATATAAAAGTCTAGTGGTATTCAATTGTGACTTTTAAAAAGTATTTAAAAGTTTGGTGGTATCCAGTTACGACTTTTAAAGAGTATTTAAAAGTTTGGTGGTATCCAAAAAGTTAATGACTTTTAAAAAGCGTATTAAATGAATGACTTTTCCATACTTTTAAGACTAATTGTTAAGAGCAAAAGTCTTGCCAATTTACTAGTGACTTTTATCAACTCTATGAAAGTATTTAAGAATTTGTCAACTCTATGAAAGTCACTCACTTAAAAAAAGTCTTTATAAGTATGAATTGAATACACCCCCCTAATTCTACTCGACCATATCTCAAGTTCTCAACTGATTCTTACTAAACTTACTAAATTTTAGCTAAGGAAGTGGTTTAGGAAGCCTATTATGGATACTCTTAAGCATTTATCCATAGTGAAAAGAAAAATTAAAAATAACATATTAATTGTAGGTTCTGTTGCTCCCAAAGAAATGAGCGGGTTTAATACACTAGTGCAATATCAATTTGCATCATGCATGCAATATCAACTTGCTACTTTCCAACTACGAAATTTTAACCCAGAAATTCTCAGTGCATTTTATTCCAAGTTAAACCCAATTAAACTCGAATTTTTAAACATTTAACAACCAAAAGAAGCAAACTCTACACTTTTGCAATAGTGTGTGAATGATGGAAAATTTGTCACCTGAGATATTGACATGTCGGATTGAGAACAATGTGGAAATTGTGATGTGAGATCGCTTTCTGGATTGACTTGTTGACTTTGAAGTCTTGCCCTATCTTGTGTAGTGGGCTCTGCTACAGTCTACATGATTTCCTACCTACTTGGATTTTTGTATGAGTATTGACTTGGCCGAGATCAATAGTCATAGCTCATGACCCAGTCAAAGAAAACAGATGATTTCTGTGGCCCAATCCGACCATCAGACACGAAGATGCTGAGGAAATTTCGAACCAAAGAGTTCCATAATCTTTGATTCAAGTTCAATAACAACCTTGCATATCGTTTAGCTTTATCTACCTACCAACTTAGTTTCACACTATCATCCCGACTTACAACTAACAAAGGAAAAGTGTAGTCAATTATGTGACATCGGACCTCTTTCTTTTTTTCATTTTCTCATTTTCTAACTTCCTTCAATTAACTTTTTTCAATTAGGTAAGGTGTCTATTATAGGGACACAGCCTAATTACTATCAAAAGAAAAAAAAAAAGTGAAAAACCAAGTTAAAGACTTGTTAATGGTAATTATATTCATTCTCATGTAATGCATAATCTATAGATTGAGAATTTCATTTCCCAAAAAATTCTCTTTAGTGGTGTGGATAATCCTTTGAAATTTAGTTAGAAAATTTTGCATATAGTGATTGTATTATAGACATATTTACACATTATTCGCATTTAATTTATGTATCTTTTTACAAAAAATTTAATAATACAAGTAAACTCACTACTGTAATATCTGGGTTTGGGCTCTTTAATGCAATTGGCACAATTATTTGTGCTTTATGACTAATACAACATTTAGGTTGATTTCAACCTCAAATAAAAACTGAACGTAGTACCAAAAATATACTTCAATTTAAATATACAACTTCTAAACCTTGTCAGCTGCCTAAATGTTATGAAGATTGAAGACCTGGCCAAAATCAAGTGCATCTAGCCCAACCAAAAGTTCCAAACTTCTTGTCACTAGCCTAAATGTTTTGAGGCTGAAATCACATAAAAAGTAGAATTATACAAGACTAGATTTCAATGACTAAAACAACTCAACAAATCAATATGAATAGTACCAAACATACCTTTACAAACTATGGTTCAAATTGATAGTTTCACAATATGAACATTAATTACTTGCACAAACCTATTTCTGTTTGCTGAAAAAAGTATTATTTGCATAAGAGAGCTGCTACAAAATTCCACAACGTTCCCTAATTTCAAATTGAAAAAAGAAGAAGAAGATAAGATCTCCTTTTGGAGGGGAAGGAAAGATACGTAACTAATGCATGTAGAACACAGGGAAGAAAAAGAGAAAAGCAGACTGAGAACAAGCAATCCAACATCAAAATCCCACAAGGACTTGGAAACAATAAATCCCTGCCAAAACAAAATAGCAATACCTATTACTTCGGCACCTATGCCTAAAAACAACACATCTCCCATCAGCTTATGCTACCATATAACCTGAATCCAAATGGCTCTACGAATTGTTTGAAGACATTTTTTGGTGGGGGGTGGGAAAGAACACATGTGTCAAAATGTAGAACACAACACATTTGGATATTAAAAGAAACAAGGGTTAATTACACTTTAGCTTGTGGTTATACCCTTAAAACATGTTTGTCCCTATTTTCTCAATTTTTACAATAACATAACCCAGACTTTTAAATTTGTTACAATGTGGTTCCACCGTTAGGGTTTCCATCATATTTCTCCGTTAGTTGCCTACGTGGCACTGGGTGGTCCCACATTTTTTTAATTTTTGTTAATTTTAAATTGATTAAAATATTAAAAACATAAAAAGACCAAATTATATATATATATATATCTCTCTCTCTCTCTCTCTTCTCCCTGCATTCCCCTATGACCACCACCCTCCAACTCTCCAAACACCAAGAATTCTACAAAAAGCAAATGGAATTCTACATCCAAATTTCAAAGGTGTAGAGATTATTAAAAGGGTTAATTACACTTTAGTATTGCACCCTACGGATCAACTATTGTATGAAACCGTTGTGAGGAATGTTTTCTCGCTAGGAGAATTAATATTAGAATTTTCGAAAGAGGAGTGAGGACATATTTTTTTTATTTAAAAAGTTTAAATGCAGACATCAAATTTCATTTGTGATGACAAATCAATCGTGATAAGGTAAACTGGCTTGTTTTGTTTTGTTTTTTGCTTTTGATGATACGAAGTGATATCAAATTGTTGTATTCCTAAAAGGACACAAATTAATGTGCAAACAACCAATTAAAAATACCCGCAAGTGCACGAATCTATTGAGGTATAGATTATGTAAGTACGGGGTCGATCCCACGAAGAACTTGTTGGCTTCCTATAAGTTCTAATTTGAGTACGTAAAGAACACTAAGTTTACACAACACACAAACACAGTACAAATTGGGAACTAAAAATGAAATAAGGAAGGTAAAAGAAGAGAAACAAAACAAGAAAACTAAAGAAAAACACAAACAACATTTTCTATCACCATTTTATCACCACTGTATCACCTGTGAACAGTGTCTGGCGACCGGTCGTATGAACAGTGCGACCGGTCGTTTTTGCACAGATTTGAAACTTGATTTTTGCGTGGCTCGCGACCAGTCGCAAGGCAAAAGCGACCGGTCGTTTTTGGGCAGATTCGTTCTCTCTGTTTTTCAGTTTTGACCTCTGTCCAGTTTTTGACCTATAACTTTCCAACCGTTTATCCAAATTTCACGTTCTTTATACGGTTGGATTCAGCACAGAAAATGGAAGAATACAACGCGGACCAAAAGTCAAAAACAATTATGGAAACAAACAAAATTCAGTAAATAAGACACACAACGTGTCAAACACACAACTCACACACACATTGGGGGAGGGGGGGGGTTGTTTGGTTCAAGTGACCTATTTCTATTGCATGAAAGTAAATGGACTTTGAATTTAAATGAGAATGGCAGAGATGAGTTATC